ATCAGTAAACATTTCTTAAAATAAAGTAACTAACTATAATTAAGCTGATGCTACTAATGTTTGAACTACCCATACATTGTTGATTTGTTTAAAGTTAAGTAAAGTAAACCCCATAAAGTGCATTAAAATTATATTTACAATACAAAAACTAATTGTACCTCCTACGAACAACATGATGTTTTCAAGATACAACTTCAAACATATCAACTAATGCCAAAATTACGGTATTTTAAAAATTTCGTCAAGTCTTATTAGGTTGTTGTAAGATTCATTAGCTTTTAATAGACTGTTCAATCCATTCACCTACATGTAACAAGTATATCTAAAAATATGTTTCTGCATCATGACACTATTTTAACATATAGTACGTTTAAAACTTTTAAAATAACAAAATCTCTGTATGGACGGCAACACTCACTTTGCATTAACAAACAAATAGCAGGTCTAAGATCGCTTAATATTTAAAAGGTAATAAATACTGCAACAACCATTCACAAATCTCGATTGTTTAATCCTCAAAAATCAATTAAAACTACAATTTATCGCAAAACTGCAATTCTTATTAAGACTACAACAGGGAGATATGTTAATGTGTCTCATTTTTAACATAACCGGGAAAACCGGTAAGAGACGACAAATTAGACAACGGATCAGGGGTTAATGACACATCAAAGAGATACCTCCATTAGCTTTTGCTTCTTCCAAAATATTTCTTCAGTTTTGTATATATCGAAAAACAAAGGTGTGTGCTAATTATAAGTTTATGGACCTTTATTCTACAATTCGATTCAGGTTGGAATCGATATTTTTGGCAAACTTTTTTATTCTAAAACGCCAAAAAAAGCCTGAAGATTTCGCAAGGACACATTAGATGCTGATGAAATTCATTCTTTAGTATTGCTCCAATTCAAAAAGTTGAACATTTATAATACTGGATCTATTATTTAAGAAGATTAGCTAATATTTTGGCAGAGGTTAATATCTAGTAAAAAGCAAGCAATAAAAGAGTGCCAAGAAAATTAAGCGAATTTGTACGAAGTTATCTTGGATATCCTGACGGGAATGACTATCCCAAGAGCCCCAAAAGCTTTCAAGTCGTTATGATTTTTGTCCAAGATCTCGGTCAAAGCTTTTTGACCATAAATTGAGCCATACTCGCAGCCATTATGGAAAAAATATCATTGTCACTTTTTCAATGTCATTGAACAGATTTTTTTATACGAGGGTCTCTGACAACCCCACGTTATAGTTGGCGTTGTAGTTCTAGGGTTAAACAAGAAAGATAATATGATAAGAACAATAATGATTAAATAGTATTACATACATCTTGATAACCATGTGGATTTTAGCATTTTCGCAAATGGCTTATAACAAGGATTTTAACCATATTATCATACTTTAAAATAATTTTCCTAACGCATTCTACGCTCTGAATATAATGAATAAGACTGATTTCAATTTTCGACACTAAACAATCGATTTTGAAATAATACATAATCGAAGTACGGTAATACTTCCTCATAAAAGCATGATGGAGAAACGGAACCATCAACATGTGAATAAATATTTATAATCTCAAGACACTTACCAGATATGCACGATTAAATATAACAAATGTTTCACATAACATGTTTTATAACAAATATTTTTATGAAAAATAAGTACTGCATTGCCAAAAAATCACAAAGTACGAATTATAAATATTTTATAACAAATGATTGTCTGTTGATGTTACAACCCTGTAGAATTTTTTGACAATGACTGGTTGTGAAGTTTGTATTATTTGGTTAACTACATTGATTAAATTGTTTATTTTATTTTTTAATTATTTTAAAATTATCATTAACTTTAGATTAGACAAGAAAATGAAGATATTCAACACAATGCTACTTACTATTTTTCAAGTCTCATTGCCATTTTCCATAATCTATAAAACCTAAAAAGTGACATCATTTCTATTACATGCTATTGAATAGGTATATGTATCTAATCTAATCAGCTATTTCGCTAGAGTATCGAAATAGACATAGGACATGGGATGAATAATATGATGATAAATAGAGGATACAGTTTCACGAATAGAAAGTGAAGTCACAGAAAATTAAGTGGATTTTGATCAGGAAGATGCTGCATTAAAAATATATTTACACTAAATAATCTAATAAAGATTAAGACCTTAAAATAAGTCGTCAAATCGCATAGGAACATTTTAAATGTTTTTATACGGTCCTGCGAAGAGCTAATAATAATAATCCAGAGGAAGCTAATAAAGACTAAGCACAAACGACCCTCGCGATTAAGAGACATAAGAAACTGATGCGACATACCTGATGTCAGCAAAGAAATAAAAATAATATAAAAAACATATCAGCGTATGCTCCAACCAGCTTGAAAGTCTACACTCGCATAGCATTCGACACTAAACCAAGAAGGATTTTATCTTATGTAACTTCAAATTAGGAAGCTACTCTTTCGTATTTTCTTGTTCTGAGGTTTGAAGAGCCTGTAGATTGTCAGACAAATTACAGCCGACAAGCTGTACTAGACAAATTACTTTGGGCAGTTTGCCATTGGCCCTCAGGGAGAGAATAGTTTTTAATGTTTTACTTTTGATGGAAACCTTAATGTAAAACTCTTACAAAGGCAGTACAATGTAAACAGTAGTAGAATTGTAGTTTCCAAATTGCAATGTCCTTTTTTTAATACATTAGTACTATAGTAATAACTTTTATAGTTATTACTAATCTCCTACGCACATCTAATGCAATTTAAACATAATACAAATTTAACAACCAATTGTACATAAAAATTTGGTCAATGTTCAGTAAATAGATATATGAAAAGTTGGTTCTTAATCAGTTAATGTTTGACATTAATAGAGATATTGAAAACACTTTCTTTTGTAAAATATTCTACAAAAATATTTCAATTTCTTAAACGAATTAAAACGAAATGTCCATTCAATGTTTAAAAAACCATTGGTACATGTTTTTACGATTGTCTAACGCATTCAAGCAGACTAAAAGCAAAACAATGGAACCTATTTAGATTTTTATTTCGCTACAAGAGATTGAATGGTCATTAAAAATGACACAAACAATAGCCATGTAAAAAATGTACAGGGATATTGATTATAAACGGACCCCCGTCTATATTTTCTATAGACATGTAAAGATAACACAATATATGTTGTAAAGCTGTTTTTACCTATTATAATCGCTGTGATATATCTATATTTAAAGATAATAGAGAGGAATGCGCAAACTGGATTGTCATGCATTACTACAGTTCATTTCACATTTTTTGTTCGATGAATATTCGAGATACATTTAGTGTTACATCTCTTCAGATACAGACAAGTTAGAATTTTAAACTGCATCTAGTTTCATCGCAAAATAGAAAATATTGGATACAGAAGTCTACTTAATTCACATTCATAGTAGCCGGCTTGTTTTTAAAGGATTTCAGTTTAAATTAAATAGCCATAGTGTATGTTGTCTAATATTGTCGGTCAATCTGCTTCTCAGTACGTGTGAGGTGATTTATAATTATGAAGTATGCAATTATAATTGACTTTTTTTCATTCTTTTAAACTTGGCCTTGCATTGTTGACATACAAATACCTATTATTTGTATTATAAGAATTTATCTTTCAATTGCGATTCAATCATCCCCGTCTTGTTTTTGACACTTACAACACTGACAATACGAATATCAACGAACTTATCTGAATAGCAGATCACGATGTATTATTAAATTTACAGCAGTTTATAATCATGTCTTAGGTTAAGCTTCTATAAGCATAACGCAAGGAGTCGATCAAACAAGGAGATATCAGGAGGTAAAGATCTCTCTGCATAAAGATGCAGATCTCATTCTGGGCATGTCTGTAGACCGAATGGTCCAAAAACAAAGCTTTGATAAACATTCGGAAGAGGGTCTGCCAATAATGCAAACTCAGGTTGGTATACAGACGGTTCCAAAACCGATGAAGGTACAGAAGCTGGTAGATGTAGTACAAAAAAAAAACAAGGAGCAACATCTGGTTAAGCTTGGAAACATAGGCTACCGTATGTCAGGCAGAAGTTTCCGCTTTACGATGGTATGATGTGCCAGTACGTGAAGAATGATTCAATCGTTATCTACTGCGATAGTCAAGAAGCTCTCAAAAATGCTTGGTTCTATGCAGGTTGATAAAAACTTGTGTGGGACTGTTAAGACTGTGCGGATGATTGGAAGCCGAAACTATACTTACTAGTCCACTAAGTGACTAGTGTCTATTTTAAGTTTAGAACATATTCAAAGAGTGTATTACAAATATAGAAAAGGGTCCATTTATAATTAATAACCATGTGCACTGTATATTAAAAAATATGTCTCCACTTAGATTTTTTATACATTGTTTGGAAAATAAAGTTAATATTAAAAAATGGGACGAATAACAATTTCTTTTATTTTAGACCAAGATAATTTATATTGCACATCATTATATTCTTAATTCTACTAATATATTAATCTAGTGAAGAAAGTTTGTCTAGTCTATTAATGTGCTATTACAACATCAAATTAGCATTTGCACTACGGTGAAATTTTTATAAATCAACGGATATTTCAACATTACTACCTCATGAAAAAACCATGGAATAATTTTTGTTTATGATTAATTCTTCAAAATATTTGTATCCTTTTTCAAACAATTTTTTTGAGAAAATATGAAAAAGTTTAAAGAAAACGATTACCATGAAAATGATAATTTCAGAGATAAAGTATTAGGCACGTAACGACGTATAGGGCTATAAGACAATACGAAAACTAGAATATACTTGCACCAATTTTCCAAAAACTGAAAGATCTCATGTTTTGATGATAAAAACATATTACACCCTTATATAGTACCAACGAGACAAGACAGCACTAAGTACGGCCACTGAAATTTTAAAAGCGAAATCAAAGAAGTAAGCAAGCGATCCCTTCATGACAGTTTTCTTTTCTTTTTTCTTTTCAAAAAATATGTTTATTCGTTGCCAAATTAATAAAAATTAAAATCAGCATGTTAAATGTTCGAAAAGCACCACAAATCATCACCCTTAAACAAATAAAAAACTTTTAAAACAGTTTAATATTAATCATTAAAGTTTTAACGACAACTTTAAACTAAAACATTCGCTTAATCCACTAACAATTACTGCCATAATAAGGACAAAGATTATACAGATCCAGATACTGAAGATAACATTACAGATTACCAATTTGGTTTTTGCTTCTTCATTTTTGGTTTTTACCACCTTCTTATGGTTTAACTAAATCTTTGAATGAAATACTTTCACCGATTAGAAATCCTCCTCCTATAGGACTGAGAAAATTTAAAGTATGGAATACCATAAGGTCTTGGATTACTTAAATCAGTTCGAGACTTGGTTTTAAAAGTTAAACATTAAAAGAAATAAGCCTCGCCAAATAAATGTCACACTCGGACAAAAACACAGTCCAAATGTACGTTTAAATAATATATCAATATCACAATGACTATGCAAAATATTTGTACTCATGTAGGTAGACAATAAACTTCAAATACTAAAAACGGAAATAAATCGCACAGGAAGTAAAAATTAAAGCAAAAGAGAAAGTTTGGACGAAGGAATAACGACGGGATAATATATTGACTTCATTTCATTTCGTGTCATTATGCTACAGAAACTCAGGAATATTTCGAGCAGAATAGCATTAATTGCGTACCAAGGGAAGATATCCTTCCAGGTCGGCAATAGAAAAATATATGAAAAAGGTTGAAAACCACAGAACAAAAAAATCCCGAGGGCGAATTTAAAAAAAAAGTTGGTAAGTAGACCAAAACACATAGTTCCAAAGCAAGATGAGACAAGTGTTGACTAAATTGCCTTCATTAAATACCATGAGCTGTTATCAGTTTGGTAGGTTAATTTTCGTGTTGCCAAAGCAATACAGTAATCCAGCAAGCAGCAGTCATAGTCCCGATCGCAAACAAAAATTATACTAATTTTGGCCAACAAAACAAAATATTCCACAATTTATTTCATGAGCGTTGATTAACATCTTATTACATCAAATAATTTGAATTCAATCAAATAGTGTGATTAGTGCCAACGTTAAACTAATTAACAAGACAATAGATTTTTTATATGCAGTATATAAGTTTGAATCGTATGAAAACATAGTAGGCAGTTTAAAAATGGCACAATTTAAAAGAACGTACTCTGCCAGCAGATGATCAAAGCAGTTCTGTAGATTAGTTATAGTACAGATTAAAAAAATCTAGTTTTCATACAATACACCCATATCTAAAAAATACCTATTCTTACCAATGATTCCTAGGTATTATAGATTAAGAATATTTTTTACAAAACTCAAGTACGAGCCATTTTATATTAGTTGTCTAGAACTTGATTTATTACATTTCTAAAGAAATATTTTTTAAATATTCATATTCAATACCCAGAATCCCTTGCTAGAGGTTGCAATGGATAATCTATAATATAAACTACATACTTGGCAAATTTCGTAAAGAACCGTTAATTTTACATTTATTTACTGGTTCTTAGTTATATCCGGAATTAACGGACCTTATTGAAACTGGCCATAAGTATAATAATTTGTTATTAGGTACATAGATGATTTGTCTCTGTTCCTTTTCAACATCTGCCTGTAGACATTTATTTTATTAAATATATATTAATATTATTCGTATATTTAACAAAAATAATTTTATACATCTGGAAATCTCTTATTACAGACGAGGATTACTTAATCAATGGAAAAGAAGTGACTGCGGTCCCATCTGGTTCACTGTTGGGTTGAGTTGTGGCATTGGTTGTATCGTTGTTAAGGGGCGCATGCTCTAAAAATGGAAGTTATTTATTTAAACAAATTCTCGTTTAGTTTGAAATATTTATGTTTAAATTTTTACACAAGATATTATAAATCAATATAAATACATAATAGATACATGTCACTACAAGTCGATACGTTCCAAGAGTCGATTATAAAAGTTTACAGTATATAACCCTTGCGCGTACAGCTCAGTAAGGTCGAAGTGTTTTGACGTTCTGAGACCAGACTGTCAGAGCCGACGCTATGACTCACCATTAGAAGTATTTACATTAGATTATGATTGTCGTTCTACAATAAACTGTTACTGCAATAAATTATTTATTTGGAATTAATAAATGGCACATGAATCAGTGCATTTCATTGTGTTATCCTGAAGTATTAGTAATTTAATTTCGTATACTTTCTTGGTGTCTCCACAGATGCTTCCCATATTTCAAAGAAGTAGTTTAATTGTATAAAATGGTTTGGGTACAAATATACATAACATAACTTGTCGTTTATAATTCTCTTTTTTTAAGCAAATTTAAAATATATGTCTATACATACAAAGCTAAACCTTCTTTATAATATATGTCTCTCCAATGGCGCTACAGCTCAAATGGAGTCTTAGCCTCCTCCAAACTATGCCTCTATCCTTGACGGTCCCGCTCCGATCTTCTCCAGGTTCTCACGTCTAGCAAATTTTGCGTGTCCGCTGCAACTTCATCCTCTCGCCTTTTTCGCGGCCTTCCTTTTGATCTTGCGACCTGCATTTTACTATATAGGGTTCTTTTCAGCAACCTGTCGGCCTCCACTCTCACATTATGACCAGCCCATCGAGGTGTCTGAAGTTGAGAGAATTATAAGATTGGTGCTTCTTTGAACAGTTGGTATAGTTCATGGTTGTGCCTAGATCACCATACTCCGTTTTCGTAAGTAGGGACAAATATCTTTCCTAGAATTTTTTGTTTCAAGGACTTCCAGCTTTCTTTTTGTATTTTCATGTATTTTCTGAAGAAAATACTCCGACGAATATAAAGGAAAAGTCTTTTGGATAGGGAGAGAAGCGAAAACATAAGAAGAGCATGCAATATAGAAAACATAAATGGATGGGCAACAAAACGAAAACAGGAGTGGAACGAACATATTAGTAGAATAGCAGAGGATATGATAGTACGATAGCACAGACAAATCACCAAAGCTTTGTTTTCTCTATTATTCTCCTTTGACACTGTATTCCATATTTCTCATGTCTTCATCGATGTTATCAAGGAACCTTGTTCTGGATCTTCCTCTTCTTATCTGACCAATGGGTCTACCAAGGAGTGCTTTTCTAGCTATGTAGGTCATTCTGTTCCATCCGCATTACGTTGCCCTATCCACCTCAGACGTCCTCTGTTAATGATAGATAGATAGATAGAAAGTTTATTGACCACTTTACATAAAGTTTGAAGTCCGTATAAAAAATACAATAAAAGATATAATAATGTAAACTTAAAATTAACTTGACCATATTGGCTAAAGTAATATACATATGTAAGTATTAGCAGAAGAATTAAAATTAAAAATTTAAGATAAAAAAGATCTCTAACCAAAAAAAAAACAAACCTAAACTGTCACATAAAAAATCTTTGAAATATGGAAGTAACAAAAATGTACAAATAATTAAGAATATTCCCGAATCGATGACTAAATAAACTAATACATAAAACTTAGTACATTTTAATAGCAATAATACAATGTGATATGTAGATAGTAAATCGACAGTATTCTGACCAAACTGGGTACACGTTACAAAGGTGTATTGAGGTATTCTGTCTTTGAGTAAAAACAATATGTTAAAAAATGCTTTCTGATCCTATTTTTAAACAGTGGTGGAGACAGAATTTTTATTTCGTTAGGCAGATAGTTATACAAGTGAATATCAATTGAATTCTTTGTGCTCTTTGATAGTCTGAATCGTTGTGACCTAATTAAATCCCTCGATCTTGTTAGATGATCATGTAATTGGGAGTTTATAGTAAACTTATTTTTATTATCGTGAATTTCCAACAGTGTTGCATACATATAAAGCGAAGGTAGAGGCATAATACCCATGTTCAAAAATAATGGTTTACAATGATCCCTTAAATCCGCTCCAGCAAGTATCCTCACCACCTTCTTTTGTAATTTAAATATTCTGTCGGCATGACCAGAGTTGCCCCAAACAGCTATTCCATATTGTATATGACTATGAAACAATGAAAAGTAACACATTTTAAGGGTACTTTTAGGTACCAAATAAACCAGGTTACGCATTACAAATATTGTACTGGCGAGTTTAGAACTTAAGTTGTCTATATGGATGCCCCAATCTAAGTTGTCATCCATAAAAATCCCTAACAATTTGATGCTATATCCAAAAATGTGTCTTCGATCTGAACTGAAAACTATATTTTGATTTTTATCCTCGTTTAGTTTTAGTTTATTATGTGTAAACCAGTTTTTAATTTTAAGCACATCGTTTCCTATTTTGTTATTTAAATTATATTGATTCTGGTCGGTACTAATAACGGTTGTATCATCTGCAAAACATATACACCTTAAGGGGTGGGTATAATGAAATATATCGTTGAGATATAGAAGAAAAAATGTAGGTCCTAATATAGACCCTTGGGGAACTCCATGTTCAACATTGTGAAAATTGGAGTAATTATTATTTAAAAAAACGGCCTGTTTTCTGTTTATTAAATACGATCGAAATAAATTAAGAGCATTTCCCCTTATGCCATATTTGTGCATTTTGTCTAAAAGTAAAGTGTGTGAGACACAATCAAAAGCCTTAGATAAGTCACATAATGTTAAAGACACGAAGTGACCTCTCTCTAGGCCATCAACTACTTCCCTTACAATTTCCTGAATTGCTTGAGTAGTGCTGCATTTTTTTCTGAAACCATATTGATTACAATGAAGTATTTTGTACTTTTCTATGTACTCTATTAAACGGTTATTCAAAATACTTTCAAAAATTTTACCAAGAATGGGAATAATAGAAATAGGGCGATAATTTTCAATTTCTTCTGAAGATCCTTTTTTGAGTAGCGGTAACACTTTTGTTACTTTTAATACATCGGGAAAGATTCCTTCGATAAGGCAAAGATTATAAAGTATGACCAGTTTATCAATAATAATATCCAGAGTTTCTATCACTAATTGTTTGTTTAAGAAGTAAAAATCAGTGCATTTTGAGTTTTTCAAGCTGTATAATGTATTCCTAACTTCAGTATCACTAACAGGTGTTAAAAACAACGAGTGGCAAGGGGAGTATATTCCCTCCAAAAAATTCATGGCATCATTTTCATCTGTCTCATCTAACGAGTTCAATATATTTCCCGCTACCGAAGTAAAGTAATTATTAAACTCGTTTGATGAAATATTACATGAAGTTACTTTTTTATTTTGAGTTTTATTCCTATGATAATTGATGACTTTCCAAGAATCTCGAGATATATTATCAGATTTTAAGAAAAACTGCTCATATGCCAGTTTTTTCTTTATTGATATTGTTAATTGATAGTGTTTTTTGAATTGATTATACAGAGTGTAATCACTAGTAAGGTTAGCAGTAATTTTTATCTTCGAAAGGTTTACTCGCATTTTCCTTAGTTCATCGTCAAACCAAGAAACAGGTGCCTCAAAATGAATTCTTGACTTTTTTACTGGAAAGCAAACTTCAGTTAATTTTACATATGTGTCAATTATGAACTCAGCTAATTCCGTTGCTGTTATTGAATTGTTTATTAACGACCAATCCACAGATTTTAGTGATTGTTTTAACATTTGGGTGCCTTTACATGTTATGTGTCTTCTGAATATCCTATCATTGTCAATTTGATCAGATTTTATTTTTAAATTCAGGAATTGAGCACAATGATCAGCAAGGCATGGGTCTACAACACCACACCCAACTATTTCATTATCTATATTTGTTAAAATATTATCTAAACAACTTGCTGATGTAGCAGTGATTCTTGTAAATTCATCAATCTTCATAGTTAAACCAAAAGAAGAAATTAGATCGGAAAAATATTTTAATTCGTTTGAAGTGCCTTTGAAATCAATATTGAAATCCCCAATTATAATTGTTTGAACATAATTATTAGAACAGAATATTAATAATTTTTCAAATAGGCCTAAGAAAATTTGGAAATCTGCGTTACCTGTTCTATACACTGATACTAGAATAGTTTTTATATCTATAATTTCCAAAGCACAAAATTCACCTTCATATTCACAAGATATATCATTCAAAGAAACTGGACGTGTAGATATTTTGCCATCGCAGAAAATAGCAACACCCCCATGTTCTCTACTTTTTCTACAGTAACAAGTTGATAAAAAGTATCTGTCAATTATCACTGTTGTTAATTCAGATTCTCTAAGCCAATGTTCAGAAAAGCACAAAATATTGTAAGTTTTATCTTTTAAAAAAATGTTAAGTTGATCAATTTTATTTAATAAACTTTGTGTATTTATATGAAAAATGCTTACCAAACTGGTTTGGTCAGGATTTACTACCAACTTTTGTTTATCAGAACTTATCATATCACTTTCACAAAAACAGGTGTTTCCTATATTCTTTTGCACTACCGCTGATTCTATTCGTACACTTTTATCTACATCTCTTGCGGCTTTCTGGGTGTTACGTGAAAAAAAACGTTGTACGTGAGCTCCACATGGCCATATTTTAGGAGACATAGCTTCTTTAAAATTGTTATTAAAAATTGTAACTTTAAATGAACTGTAAATATCAGGATGCTTTGATTTTAGGGATTCTACCTCTACTTCGGGAAATGTAGTCTTCATAAGTTCCCTCATATTTTCCGCAGTCATATCGGGATCGACCTGTATACATGTAGGTCTATCAACTTATGTACTCCCTTGATTTCTTTTCCATTTAATGTCATTTCAGTGTTTTTTCCCACAACTAAATGCTTTCTTTTTTTTCTTCTATCTACTTCTGTCCATTCAGATTTTTCCTGGTTACTT